ACACATGATACACCAAAAACATCATTACCGCCATTTTGAGCCAAGCATGGCCTACTGGTCATTGTGCTTAAACTCTGAAATCAGGACAAAAACGTGCGAAAACAGCTTTAAGGGCAGTAGAGTGATGGTTAAATCCAACTATCTGGTCAGACAAGAATAGTCCCCCCCCACCCCCCAGTTGGCACAGTGGTATGTCTGCGGACTTACAACGCTAAAAATCGAGTTTCGATATCCGTGATGGCCCGAGCACAGATAGCCCTTTGTGTAGCTCTGTGCTTGACTTCAAACAAACAAACAAGGGTTGACGGATAGTGCTTGGTATAGCTTCGAACGAGGATTCTAAAAACACAACAACAGAAAACTTTTTTTTTGTTTCACTGGTATTCAAAGAAGTGTTAAATACACACTGTATCTTTCGTACAGTTTAAAGTGTGTGTGTGTGTGTCTGTGTTGCAGGTTCTGGGTTTTCAAAGATCACTTTACTCAAGCATGTTTAATGCTTACTTCTTTAACACTCAAAACATCAATACGTTTTATTAGTCTTATCATTCGAGTTAACTTTCTGGTATTTTTGTACCGAATACGCAGATACGCCTATCGAAGAATGAATGATTACATCACTAGAGATAAAAACCATGGCGACCAGAGTCCCATTACTCTTACCCAACCCCTCAGCTTCTGAGGCATTAGAAAGAAGAGGTTGATTGTCAACAGTCCCAATGAGCAGTGTCTATTATGTGATGATGAAGTACTTGAAGAACATACTGAAAAGTTTCGGTAGCAGATGTAGCTCTGGATCTTTGTTGGTTTATAGGAATTGTTGTTGTATTCAGTTTCAACTTGCTATTGAAGCTCCCTATTAGTCGATACCTAGTGACGTGACCAACAGAGCGCAGAGATTTCTGACCGAGGACGGATACCCCACACAAGAAGCCCCACTGCCGTTAAGGGGGAAATTACTCGCCAGACGGGCACGAGAAGGCACGTAGTAGAAATCCTGACAAGGCAGAAAATTTACACCCCTACAGCTACTGAATAATGTTTGTAGCACGTGCTATTGGTGAGGTAACAATACTAGAACTCGCCTTGTGTACTATTCAAGCCACACACTCACCTGAAATCAACGCGCTGTGTTATAAGAAATAGTCATTCACAAACAAAAGTTTTGAAGTTTCTTTTTTCCTTCCCAGTGTTTACCATAAGATTACTAAGATGTGTATTTCTTAACCCTAGAATTGCCATATGACCTCTTCGGTCTTTTTTTTTTTACGTCCATTTGTCTAAACTATTCACCAACCAAAATGTTTACGTATCATAACTTCGTTTATTACACTTACAGAGTCCCAAATACCATAATAGTAAAAATATACATACAAATTCTATGAGCATCACAACTAATCCCACTAATGCCTGTTAGACATTCCCAACGTGTTTAACATAGAAACTAAGCCTTTTTAAATTTATACTTCATTTTACAACACTGAGTAAAATAAAGGTAAAACATAAAACGAGTCAATATGGTGCATTATGTGAACCTCATCAGGACTGAGCGCTATAGAAAACAGGGATAATCTGAGGGTAGTTGGAATGTTAATTACGTTTATTAATTGTTGCGAAAAGATATATGTACAATAGAAGAGTGTCAGTGCTAGTACACTAATAATAGCATTTTTTAGGGAATTGGTTCGTTGTTATCAAGTATAAAACTAAACAATCTATGCTCTGCCCACCAAGGATGCCGAGACTCGACTTTTAGCGTCGTAAAAGTCTGCAGACGGACCGTTTAGCCATTGGGAGCATTTTGCCAGAGAAAAGGAAAACAGAAAAAGACTATATATACATGTCATTATTTCTGTTCAGGGTAGCCCCGTGGTGAAGAAATAACGAACCAAGTTAACTTTCGTGGGTACAACATTGTCTTAATGAAACACGTTAACTTTCGTGGGTATGACAGTGTCTTAATGAAACACGTTAACTTTCGTGGGTACAACATTGTCTTAATGAACCACGTTAACTTTTACAAGAGTGTCCTAATGAACCACGTCAACTTTCGTGGGTATAACGGTGTCTTAATGAAACACGTTAACTTTCGTGGGTACAACATTGTCTTAATGAAACACGTTAACTTTCGTGGGTATAACAGTGTCTTAATGAACCACGTTAACTTTTACAAGAGTGTCCTAATGAACCACGTCAACTTTCGTGGGTATAACGGTGTCTTAATGAAACACGTTAACTTTCGTGGGTATAACAGTGTCTCAATGAACCACGTTAACTTTTACAAGAGTGTCCTAATGAACCACGTCAACTTTCGTGGGTATAACGGTGTCTTAATGAAACACGTTAACTTTCGTGGGTATAACAGTGTCTCAATGAACCACGTCAACTTTCATGGGTACAACA